AAAAGAATGTCTGGGAAGGAAGATCTATAGAGAATAAAAGTAGGGGTGAAACATGTTGGCATCTAGATAAAGATGATTGAGCAATATTGCTGAGTAGAGTATAGGGTGGGGAAAAGGTAGAGAGCAAAGGTGAAAGGTTCAAGAAGGAATAAAGCAGAGACGGGGAACAGTAAAGAACGGGGAGAGGTTGAGAGAAACAGATAGCCAAATTGAGATGACAATGTAAACCCACAGAATACAAAAATGAGTGAACATGTGAGGCAAAGTAGGTCTGCCTCTAGCTTCTACTGAGAATTACCAGCTTATGCACATCACGGAAGTCATACAGATGACAAGACAGGCAAGGAGAAGGCCTGGAGGAAAAGTCCTGGAAAGGCCTATGATGGGATTTTGAAACAAAGAGGGACAGAGAACTCTAGCAGAGGAAGAAAAAGGACAGAAGATGGAGACCATCTTCTTCTGCTTACCTGGGATTGGCTTGCAGGATTTACCAAGGACCTGAAATTAAATTCAGCAAATAATTTCTGAGCATCTACGATGTGCCAGGAACTGTACTAGGTGCAACAATAAGATGAATGTCAGGCCAGCACCAGGAACCTCAGCCTCAGAAAGCAGCCCTATCATGACCCAACCCACCACTAAAGTTCAGCTGTTTATACACTGAATTCATCAAACACACTCTCTCAGGACTCTTTTATTTAGGTCATCACACACCTGAGGAAAGACTCCTTAGATAATTCCAAAACAATTTCTGAGCCAACCCTCAGCCCACCCTGAGGTTTCACCTGAGTTGGGTAGTTGACAAACTGTAGTGCTGAGTTGCTGGAGACCATGGCACCCAGATAGGAGACAGAACAGGCGGCATAGAGCCAGCTCCGAGTACGATCCACCCTGGCAGTGTCAAAAAACTGGATCACTGGGAGAAGACAAAAAAAAAACAAACACAACAAAACATACAAGAGAAACCTAGTGGGGCTAGGATGGACCACTAAGCAAAAGTTGAGGCCGCATGAAAAGAACCTGTCTGTCAAATAAGACATAAGCTATTTCTGTCCTCTTAGACTGGGAAATCTGTGAAAATTATTCAACTCTCCAATTCCATTTAAGCCCGACACCTGATCACATGCAGGGAGCATGTAGGGATTTCATTCAGTTCAAGAGAGGACTTATCTCTGCTGGTAGACTATAGGGAACAAAGAAAGCTCAAAACATGTTTGAAGCTGACACATAAAGGAAAGTCAAAGGAAAATTTATTAAGTATTCTCAATAGAAATTTAGAAGCAAAGACCAATTCTCTGAACATCTGTGACTCAGAAGTTGGTCTAATTTGTGGGTATAATATTTTAATCTCACTTTACATTAGACTTGTAGACTACACAGAGTCTGTATGAGGGTCAGGGAAAATTAGACCTCAGAGTGGAATCAATCAATGCTTAATACCCAGAATGGGGGAAGGGAGTCCCCCAACAAAATATTATCTAAGTACTCACAGATCTTGGCAAACATAGCATTGATCACACACTGGATGAAGACCAAAGTTAAGGCAAAGGTGAACGTCTCCTGTTTGGCTCCCTCTCCATACTTTCCTCTTGTTCTACGATGAAGTGCATAACAGAGCAGAGAAATGAGTATATTTCACTTACTGTCACCTAGAATGTCTACAGCCACTAAAAGCTTTGAATTATCTTGTCTCTGGATGTAGAGCAAGAGTTCGTAAGGGATAGTAAGCTCATTTACAAAAGGAGCTGATGTAATTGGACCTAGATACTAATTACCCTAATGACTCCCCATCTTCCCCCTCAGCAAAAGAATCCGTAGAGGATGGAATTAGCGGAAACAAGGAAAATCAAGCAGTGGACCGAAGTACCCCAGGAAGAAGGTATCCAAGCTAGGAAGCAAGGCTGAAGGCAAAACAGGCTGCCCACAAACACCTGGGTGTTCCAAAGAACACTTGGTTCGGGTCGGGGAAATCTGCTTGAGAATTAGAAGTCCCAGGTTCTTGGAATCAACAAGGGTAAAAAAAAACATGTAAAGGAAGAAATACTATCAGGTCCCGAGAACCCTAAACATTAAGTCTAGCGTTTTAGAATTATGGGGATAAGAGGAAAGCCTGGGGGCTGACAGGAGGCCCGAGCCCGGCCTCGGGCTGGACAGAGGGTGTGGAAGCAAGGCAGGTCCGTGTTCCCATCCCCAGGGGTCCGCTCACATCTTCTCCTGCAGGATCCCATAGTAGAAATAGCAGACAAAGACACCCAAGAAGCAGAGCGGCAGGCGCAGCCGGTCTGGCACCAGGGATTTGCTAGCGGCCATGAGACGCCCAGACGAGTCGACCGGAGACCCGCTCACAACCGGCAGCGGCAGCGGCGGCGAAGGCGGCAGCTCCAGGCGGACATCGCCGACCGGCAGCAGAGGCCTCATAGGAGCTACACGCGACCGTGCCTTAGTAGGACCCAGCAGTCAACTCCAGAACTGCCAGCTCAGGGTTGCCAAGAGGAAAAGTCCTCGAAATCCAGAAAACACTTGATGAGAAAGAAAACAGGCTCTTGAGATTTTGGCTCTATTCCTGGTGGCGACAGGATTCAGCTTTCTCGAGGCTAATACCTCGATTTTTTATTTTCAATCAGGCAATATTGAGGACCACTGCAACCCGGAGCTCGACCGAGTGGCCTAGAAGATACGCGGTCGTAGAGTGATGACGTATAAGGATGTGGAGGTCACCAATTGGTTGGGCTGTGCGAAGACAGACAGGTGGGTGGGGACGGAGGCGGTGCTGCCGGGGGAGCGAATTAAAGTCTCCGGGTGGCCATCCCGGCTTCTCCTGGGTCCTAACGCCTTGAAACGTTTAAAGAGCCTCAACGCCCTCTAGCGGATGCCCACCGTCAGTGACTCAACTCCGCTCTACCAAAGTGCTCAGAACCTGGCTTTGGAGAGTCCTCACACAGTTCCTGTACTTCCTATATACTAGGAACAACGCAGTAGAGGTCAGCTAGATCCGGGGTCTTGTGAGGGAAAAGGTGGGACAGTGTACACGTGATGCTTAAATTCTGAGCCACAGTTTTCCCAGTCTGTAAACTAGAAATCTTTAGTAACAGCTTTGTCACCCCTTGACTGATCTGAGGATCAAATGAGCTGAGTTTTATTAAAGTGTTCTATAAACTGTAAACGGTGCTATGCAAGTTGAAGGGATTGTCATTACCCTTTCTCAACTCCTATCTTATTTTCTCACATCTTGGAAGTGAAAATGAAAGCTCCCTGAAGTGAAATTTCAAGGCCCTCCAATTTACCAACAATGGACCCAAAACTCCTAACTTCCTCTGGCATCTTTCACATTAAACCCCTCATTCGACCCCTCCTCCACCCAAGGGCTGTGTCTCCAACCTGCTGTGCCGAACTGGCAGGGGCAAGACTGACCCCGATTCTTTCCACTCAATCCCCACATATTAGCCCAATTCTCAGGCAACCAGTTGGACTCTAGGCTGTTTTGTTTCTTCTAGCTGCCTGCTCTTTGGCACTGACTCAAGCAAAGGAAGGAAACATTGGGCAGTACCACACCCATCACTGGAGGTCTGACTCACTAAGACTTTGGGGGCAAGCCAGCCACCTTAGGGGGGCTTAGAGAAGTTAGAAATAGATCCAAGCCAGCGGTGGTGGCTGACGCCTGTAATCCTAGCTACTCAGGAGGCTGAGATTTAAAGGATCACAGTTCAAAGCCAGCCCAGGCAGGAAAGTCCATGAGACTCTTATCTCCAATTAACCACCAGAAAACAAAGTGGTGCTGTGGCTCAAGTGGTAGAGCACTCGCTTTGAACTGAAGAGCTGAGGGACAGTGCCCAGACCAGAGTTCAAGCCCCCATGACCTACCAAAGGAAAAAAACAAACAGAAGATCCTATCCTAGTCTACTGCCTCTTTTCTATTACAGTGGGGAATTCCCCATTTGCTCTCTTGCCCAGTGCCTTAGTCTACTGAATCAGTTGGCACATCCAGGGAGTCAAGTAATAAGTAGCTGGGATCAGAGATTTAGGTTCCAGTCCCAGTTTTGGTCTTTTTGCCAGCCATGACCTCAAACAATTCACTCGACTCAGGTCTTGTGAGATTAATGTGAATATAAAAACATGGGCAGTGGTGTCAAATGCTAAGGTTTTCAATCCTAGTGCTCCCATTTGCTATCTGTCTGGGAAAAAGTCAATTAAAAAAAAAAATCTTCCCTCACCTTTCTCTCATTGAGTGGTTATCATATTTCAATAGCACCTCATGTAAAGCACTAAACATGATAGTTAGGATAGCCTGACAGAGGATTTGTCTTGAGGTCTTATAGATAAGACCCAGTGGTACTCATGATTGCTGTTGGGGTTCTCAATTCGCCACCTGATATAGTAGTAACAATGTGTGTTTTGTGAAAATGCTTTGTAAATTCAGGGCACTACCAGAAAGTTGGGACGTTTTCCCCCAAGAGCTCTTATAGAAGCAGCATTGGACTGAGAAGCTGCAGAACAAGAGCAGTTTCTTCCTACCAAGGTTGTACACTGGGTTGTAGGTGCCCACTGAAATGGGAAGAGCCAAAGGGAACATAATGGCCTTAAAGGTGTACCAGGAGAATTGATCTTAATGACATCCCCTTATCTTCTTCCCCTTGTCAGTGCAAGGAACATTCACCATGCCAAACTGTCGCACACTTCCTCCCCCCCCCCCCGCCCCCCCAGTCACCCTCATTTCCTCTTAATTCCACTCTCCAGAATCTGGAGCCTTTTCAGACTCAGTGAAGATGGGTCACATCCCCAATGACTTCCTCCCTCATCCACTCACAGGCAACATCACACTCTTTTCTTGACAGACTTTACATGGGTCTGCTGTTTCTGTGTCTTGTGAAGAAGCAGGATGTCCATCTAGATAGCACCCAGACCCAAGGCATTATGTGTTTAATAGTAAAGTTAAATGAAACAATCAATGATACTGTCCATCTCCATTCCACTCCTCCCATATACTTAACAGAACCTCAAGCTGCTGGGAATACTTATTTATTTGGTCTATTAACAAGATCTGCACAAAAAAAAAAAAACCAACAACAACTTCTAAACACAAGATAAGAAAACTCAAACATTAACATTCTTCTTCAATTGTGTGTAAGCTCTGCAATATGGAAAATATACAAACTTCAAACAGCTGCAAAAATAGTGTCTTTGGGAGAAAATAGAGTTCTACATCGATACAAGAAAAATAGGCATTTTTCTAATCCAGCCCAGCCCTGGGACCGGTGGAGGGTTTGGAGCTACCACTGTCACCTGAAGGAACACTCGCTCTCCCTCTTCCTCCACCACACACCGGGGAGCTGGGCTGCTGCTTAAGACAATCTTTAGTCAGGGTGAGGGTGAGATGAAATGCCACTTGGGAAAACATTTGGTTCCCCGCACTGCCAGCAGCTGAATTGGTCAAGTGTTATGGCCCTTTAGGGCCGCTTTGGTCAGTCTCCAAGAGGAGGGAGGCATGAGGATGGGTACTTATCTTCTGATCTGCTCTTCTGTGTCTCTAGAGGTGGAGTAGGAAGAAAGCTGTGACATCCCCTCCCCCTCAGTCACAGCCAGCCTGCTCCATGCCAGCAAGAGCCTACTCTAATTCAACTGGACTCACACCCTGGGGTGGGGGACTCAGGACCTAGGTGAGTTTCCATCAAATGAGGGAAGTGGCAGGTACACAGGTGTTGAGTTTTGAGTTGCCCAGCTGCTAATGGAGAAAGCAAGTCCCCTCACATTCAGAGAGGCTCATATCCATCAGAAAGAGGACTCAGGGCTTTGACACAATAAACGAAAGTGCTCGAAGGTCGAGAGGGAAAGGACTTCCCATCCCTCAACTCAGGGAGCTAAAGAAAGGCCTGCCACCAAGGCACTGGTCTCCGTAGCAAAGTATGTGCATGTGTGGAGGGGGTCCCCTCAGACTACCAAGGAGCTCTGGAAAAGTACAGACTCTTCTGATGGCGGGTTGTGCTGCCATGGCTCGAATGGCAGTGGGGAGGCCTTGGAAGCCTCTGGATCCTTCCGAAGTGGTGCCCTGGGGCTGGCAGGAGGAAGAGGAGATCCTGGATTTGAGGGGCAGTTGCGGAAGATGAAACCCATGCTGGGGAAGAGGGGCTTCATCAAACTGACAGGGCAGAAGGCTGAGCCGGTTGGATTGAAATGGACTTTGTTCTTGTCAGGACAGGAAGTCAGAAAGGCCAGATCAGGACCTGGGGACCTGCAGAATGAAGAAACAAAAAGGTACACAGAGAAACAGCCAGTGAGGAAGGGTGAGACATGTCACTACGGCAGGGGAGTTGGATCTCTCTGCTCAAACAGATGGCAACTGGACCAAAAAATAAAGGCTATAGTCTTTAGGTCCCTCCGTTCTTACCATTTTTGTGTTGCACTGGGGATAGTACTGCACATAGCACTTCACAGGTATTTTGCTCATTTTAGGCAAGGACGCTCCACTGAGCTATAATCTATAGCCTATCCACTCTTAGTATGGCTAAACAAGAAGAAATACAAGATAGCTAGAAACAGGAGAGATAGCTACCCAACAATGTGATTCTAGAAGAGGAAATGAAGGGATTCTTTCATTTGAAAGATGTCATCAGAGAAATGTGTCAGGAGCAGACTATTTGCCAAAAATCAGAGCTCCAAGCACAAATGGCTTTCTTAAACCTGTAGTTGAAGGTGTGGCTCTCAGCTTTTGTCCTATTCACATTAGAGCTGGATAATTCCCAGCTGCAGGGGTGGATAGGAAAGTACTTTAGGATTACTGAACAGCATTTCTGGTCTCTACTCACTAGATGTGAGTAGTACCAGAATGCCCCAGGCTGTGACAACTATGTCTCTTGGGCTAGAGGTGTAGCTCAGTGGTGGAGCTTGCTTACCTACCATGTGTTTCCATCCCCAGTACCACACACACACACACACACAAAGGTGGAGGGTGGCTCTTGACATTGCTATTATCTGCTGGGGACAAAAAAAAAGTCTCCCACTGAAACCTACTAGCTTAACGAATCTAATTCTTGAACACGTTTGAAAGATGTGATTGTGAAATATTTTGCTGTAAGGAAAGACAGCAACAACCATCAGGATGGCAGTTAGACCGTCTCAGAAGACCTAGGTTCTAACCTATCATATAATCTTGGCCATATCTGTATAACCTTTACTGTGAGAGAAATGGTCTCTGCTCTTCTGAGTGTTAGGGGAAAATAGAAGGATGAAAAGCAGTTCAGCTAACAAATTCCTGAGTGAGGAATCCTGATGATAAACTAGAAGAGCATGTATGACTAGAGGGAAAGAAACCTGAGGAGTTGCTAGCTGTGAGGCTTCTGGTGAGAAGGCAAATGGGCGGAGATGGTAAACCTCTGTCACTAATGGTATTATTGAAGTCTAGGCACCGAAAAAGTACACTCAGAATACAGACTGACACATTGACTTTCGTTTTAATCCTAGCAACCTCATAGTTTAAAGGCCCAGGAAAAAGCGAGGTGTCAGGTACAGCATAAGAAGTGGTGACAAACAGTGGCAGGCTGGGGGGGAGGGGGGTGTGAGCAAAGGCCTGAGGGCACAGGCACTCTGCAAGGCATCCTCACAGACAAGGGTTTAAAAGAATCCATTCTGGCTGGCGCTGGTGGCTCATGCCTGTAATCCTAGCTATCAAGAGGCTGAAATCTGAGGATCAAGGTTCAAAGCCAGCCCAAGGCACAAAAGTCTGTAAAACTCTTATCTTCATTTAACCACCAGAAAACTGGAAGTGGTACTGTGGCTCAAAGTGGTAGAGCACTAGCCTTAAGCAAAAGAGCTTAGGGACAGCACAGCACCCACAACCGAAAGAAGAAAAAAAAAATCCTACTTTGTTGGGGGGTGGGAAATGGACAGGAGAAGGAATGTTCTTGGTGTGTGACAGACCAAGAGAACACAGAGCAATACTCAGAGAACACAAATGCAACTAGCAGGACCCTGAGTAGCTTGACCGCTTATCTGGGAAATCCAGGTGGTCTTAAGAAAGGGCAGCAGCAATGAGGAGGAAAATGTGGCAAAAGAATTGCTACATGCAAGAAACTTGCCAACAGGTAAAATGCAGAGACCCTGGGAACTGCAGAGTTTCAAACCCAGATTATGTTAACAAATAATCGATGACTTGGTGGTCCTACATGTGGACTACTTTGTGCGTGTGTGTGTGTGTGTGTGTGTGTGTGTGTGTGTGTGTGTGTGTGTGTGTGTGTGTGTGTGTGTGGTCGTGGGGTGTGAACTCTGGGCCTGTGTGCTGTCCTTCAGCTCTTCAGCTCACGGCTAGCGCTCTACCAGTTGAACCACAGTGCCACTTCCGGCTTTTTCTGCTTATGTGATGCTGAGGAATCAAACCCAGGGTCTCATGCATGCAAGGCAAGCACTCTACCACTGAGACACCTACCCAGCCCACATGTGGACTACTTTACAACCACTTCTGGCATCAAGAGTCTGAGAAAGAATCAGGACAAGCAACAACCTAATTTTAGCCAGCATTTACAACGTGGACTGAGAGAAAGCACAAAGAGTCCAGTCTGCTTGAGCTACAAGAGCTGGTCTCTTCCCTGCATAGCACTCCAGAGATCCAGGGGCTTGAAGCATACCAGGCAGCAAGGATAGTACTAGTAAAGTCCTGCAGGCAGTGGTTTTCTCCAGAACTCCTACCTCCATGGTTTGTCCGCTCCCTCATTTAAGATATACGTGGTGCTCTTAATACCCCAAACAATCCCACACCATGACTAAACTTCCTGACTGCCATCAAAACCACAACTTCCAGTGTGAATCTGCCCAGTCCAATACGGAGCTGCAGGAGAAAATAAAAGAGTTCTTGGGTCTGCTGAGGGAGACGGTGTGGGCCTGGAAAGGTCCCTCTCAGCCTTTTGTTAAGGGGAGGGAAACTGGAAAGAGATCAAGCAGAATGGCTTCTGAACTACCCAATCAGGTTTGGGAATATTCCTTAGTCCCTACTTGTAAGGACTAGAAATTTCTGTCTAGGAGTTCACAACACTTTATACTCTTCTCCCTCCCTCCCCTACCCCTCTGTGTCTGTCTCTCTGTCTCTATCTCTCTCTCACTTCCTTATTATGGTCTAGCAAATCCTCATACCTTCCCCCAGGGATAGGAGTAAAAAATAGCAGAAACAAAGGTTAGGTTTCAGATATCTTTCTTTTCCAGCTCCTGCTGCACTGGTGGCTGCCATGTGGGCAGAGAACAGGTTTCTATGGAGATAATGATAAGCAAAGATTTAAGTGCTCAGAGGAGGTAATGTCAACAAGTTTGATCATGGAAAAAACAGTAATACTCATAATCTGATGTTGACAACCCCTCTAAGACAGGAGAGACATCACAACTGGAGGAGGGCCTGTCAGGTGGGATGACATGGGGCTGGCCCTCCGTCCCTCCCACGCCTCCACCTGATGTACTCACGCGGCCTCTTCAAACACACGCACTCTCTCACAGCCTTCTGGGGGCTCCCGCTTGAAGACGTAGCTGTGATTGGGCCGAGGGGAGGCAGCAAAGGCAAGGACTGGAGACGGGCTGCCATCTTCAAGGAAGGCTGGGTGACCCAGAGAGGAAGCTGTAGACAGAGCAAGGCTGAGTCCAGTGAGAAGGAAGGAAAGGCCTCTTTTTTTTCTCAGTTCAGGCCTGGGTGTAAAGGGGCAAAGTGGCTCTGCTAATCTGGTTGGTTTCTTTTATATTCTACCTTTAAAAATCCTACTTACTAGACAAGGGCTAGTGGCTTACACCTGTAATCCTAGCTACTCAGGAGGCTGAGATCTGAGGATTACAGTTCAAAGCCAGCCTGGGCAGAAAAGTCCATGAGACGCTTATATCCAGGAAACTGCTTAGAAAAAGCTGGAAGTGGCACTGTGGCTCAAGTGGTAGAGCACTAGCCTTGAGGACAAACAGGCTCTGGAACAGTGCCCAGACTGTGAGTTCAAGCCCCAGAACTAGCAAAAAAAAAAAAGGCAAATAAACAGAAACATTCCAAGGGGCTTATGTGCTGATGGTTCACGTCTATAATTCTAGTTACTCAAATAGCTGAGATCTGAGGATTGTGGTTTGAAGCCAGCCCAGGCAGGAAAGTAGATGAGACTCCTATTTCCAATTGATCACCAGAAAACTGGAAGTGGAACTGTGACACAAAGTGATAGAGTGCTAGCCTTAAGCAGAAAAGCTCAGGAACAGCGCCCAGGCCCTGAGTTCAAGTCCCATGACTGACATAAAAGGGGAGGGAAAAAAGCCAAAGGCTAGGATTTTATAGCTTAGTGGTAAGAATATTTGCTAAACATGTATGAAGCCCCAGGTTCCTTTCAAAGCCCTCTCCCTCCAGGAAAAAAAAAAAAAAAAAAACTAAACAAAACCAAAACCAAACAAAAATACATTGATGGGAAAAGGCCTTATACCAATTCTACATTCCAGGAGACAGATGGAGATTGGACCTCCAGACCTCAAGACTTATAGGAACCCTTCCTACCATCCTTCCTTCTGAAACTGCAATGCTCTGCCTGCCAGAATACCCCAGCTGCCTTCTGGCCACAGTCTGGAAAGCCTAGCCCTCCTTGTGGAGAATGCTCCTCCTGTACCAACTCCAAGAAGCAACCTTGACTCAACCCCACTCAGAGGATAAAATTTCTCTCACTTTCCATACCATGAATGAACTTTCCTAAGTTTCAAATATTGACTTTATCTTTATGTGTATTTACATCACATTTATTCCTCCTTACACTATGCTCTATTTACTTATGTGTAGTGTTAGATCATGCCCTTTACCAACCTACCATGTAGACTTGCTGGGAACCTCACATCAGACAGTGTGGACAACAGGGATCCCTGTATTAACCTGTCTGTGAAGAGCTGGGGTGCAGGAGGAAGTAGATTTGGAGTCAGTTCAAGTGTCAGCCTGGGTCCATCTGAGGGATGCTGGGCAAGAGATACCTTCTCCTACTTTATATCATTTATAACTGCCTTGAAGCCCCTTGCTAGGAAATGAGTAGCGGGGACACCTGAACAGAGATGTCCTGGCTTTCCATGTTAGTCATAAGACCAGGATGGGAGGACTGCTTTTCTGGATTCTACTGAAGATTAAGTAAAAGTATAGGTGCAGAGACTTTATAAGCCACAAATCAGAATGTGCTGAAAAGCACCATTATTATTTTTGGCACAGAGGACAGAGTGTAGATGACTCATAGATAGTCTAGTTGGCTCAGAAGTCATAATGCTGGACCTGAGGCTGCTTGGAAGGAAAAGAGAGTGAAGCACCTCCTGTAGCTTGAAGCCAGCCCCCTGCTACTTCAGCTCCTCGGCTTACCTTTGTCACTGGGGAAGGATGTCAGCTCCTCAAGACTAGCCTGCCCAGAAGGCTGGGGGGATGCCAGGGCTGTGGAGGGAGAACTGGCAAGGTTGCCTGGCTCCAGGAGGAGGAGAGGATGATCGCAGCTGTCCCTCTGCAGAGGAGCTGGTGCCCGGTGCCCATCAGGGACTTCAAGAATCTGATGGGGAAGGAGGGGAGACAATCAGTCTAGGCCTTCTCAGGCCTGCGGCACTGCAGTTAACCCCAAAGTACTCCCTGTGCCCTTCCTGTCAGCCTGTATTCATATTACACAATGACAACAGTACACCGTTTCCCTAAGACATTTCCCTTTCTGACCTTGTTCACTCTAGGAGACACACACCTGTTCCTCCCACGGCACTTTATTCTTTTCCTTCATAGCAGGAATAATCATTTGTTTATATGTGGGGTGTGACCAATGTGTCACCTCACCAGGCTATGAGCCTCACAATGTCAAGGACTCTTGTGTGCTGCACTCTAGAATAAAATGCTGAGTGATAAATGCAGTGGGACATAGTAGAGGCAAGGCGCCAGGACACAGTACATTCTGTGAGCCACTGCAGGACAAGCAGCAGATAGTTGCCATGGATTAAATACCTGCCGCTCTCCTTTTTTAAACACTCCACACTTGGACTCCCTAGCTCATGCATGTTTGAGTATATATGAAATTCTGCATGTATCCAATTTAAAACTCAACCAGAGGTAAATCATACATGAAGCATATGCCCATTAGAATTATATTAATACTGGATCCAGGTGCAGTGGTTCATGACCGTACCCCTAGCTACTTGATAAAGGTAGATAAAGGAGTGTGGTTTGAGGTCAGCTGGGGCAAAAAGCTAGTGAGATGCTCACAAGCTGTGCACGGTGGTGCATACTTGTACTCCTAATTCCGCAAGAAGCAGAGTAGGAGAATAGTCTAAGGCTGGTCCTATCTGAAAAGTGAGAGACTCTACCTGAAAAGTCACTGAAGTAAAAAAGGCTGGGCACACGTCTTAGGAGTAGAGCACCTGCTCTAGCAAGCACAAGGCTGAGTTCAAGTTCTGGACACACACACACACACACACACACACACACACACACACACACACACACACACACACACACACACACACACACACACACACACACACACACACACACACACACACACACACACACACACACACACACACACACACAGGCTCATGCCTGAAATCCTAGCTACTCAAGAGGCTGAGATCTGAAGATTAAGGTTTGAAGTCAGCCTGGGCAGGAAAGTCCATGATACTCTAATCTCCCACTAACCAGAAAAAAAGCCAGAAGTGGAGCTGTGGCTCAAGTGGTAGAGCACTAGCCTTGAGCATAAAAGCTAAGGAACAGCACTTAGGTTCTGAGTTCAAGCCCTAGTAGCAGCATACACACAAAAAATACTGCTCAACTGGCATTCCTGAATTGTACTGTGTCAGTATGAAAATGTGCCTGAGACTGCAGAAAAAGTAGCATTTAATTCCGCCCTGGAGGGGGCAGGGAGAAGGCTCCCATGGCAACTGTGCATGAAGGAGAAATATGTGTCACCAGGTAGAGATGGCATGAGCCCATTGGTGTACTCTGGACATGGCCACACTCACTCTCAGAAGCTCCTCTTCACCCTGCTCCTTCACAAACACCTCCTCCAGCTCTTGGTTGAGTCCTTCTAGGCTCTTGTGCAGACAGGGGCTAAGTCGCAAGACAGGGGATCCTGAGGAGAAGCTAGGAGAGGCCATCTGAGGAGAGGCAAATGCAAGAATTGCATGAAATCTAACACGTCCCATCCAGTTCTCAGTTCTGACCAGGGGATGATGGTCATGCCCACTCATGATTTAGTGACAGCTACAGATTGCAATAGGCCCATTCCAGTGGAGTTTTCTCTAGAAACCAGAGCTGTCAGAGGTCTAGAATGTGCTTTTACAGTCATTGCCTCACTTGCACAGGGATGGGGGTGGGGAAGAGGTATTCACAATAGCAAGAAGACCAGGCAAGTCCATTTTTGGACTAAAACCTCATGTGGCCACCCATTTGGCCACCAAAGCATACAATGGTAGGGCTCAGTTTTGCAAGAGCAGAGAGAATTCTGCTCAGCAGGAGGCCTGCACTGGAGGACAACAGAAAGGAGCCAGTGGATGGCAACACATACTCTCACCGATCCCCGCACAGCATGGTCCCCTTGGATGGGAGAACCCCGTTCCTTCTCCCTCCCACTGCGGCTCAGCTTCGTCCTCTGCAATTGTTGCTTCAATTTGGTGATCTGGCAGTGGAGAGACAGAGACAGAGGGGAGAGGAAATGAAGCGGAGAAGAAAAGCACAGGGTCTTTGCTCTCAAGTATGTCCCTCCCGCCCCCAACAGCCAGCAGAGACACATACAAAGAGTGGGAAGTTACTCTTCCATTTTGGAAGAGACCAGTAGTATTGAAACTTGTGAAGATCAGGTCCTCAGACAAGCTGGATAATTAGACTCTTTGATTTTTCTTGAAGTACCACATATTCCTGAAATGGATCTGTCTCCATCTAAGTAAAAATACACAATGCTGGAACCATTTTGTCTGTCACAGATTACAAAGAAGTGGAATGCTATTCTGCTAAGAGCAAAAGAAGTTAGTGGTTGTGAATGTCAAAAGTAGCTCATTCCTTAAAGGACATTCTTGATTATCCCAAAGGCCTGAGACCAGGAAAGATGGAAATATATTCTCCCATTTTACAATAGACCATACCATGAAAAGACAAGCTCTCTAGAGGAATACCACATTTTGTCTTGACCCTGTAACAATTAGAAAATATCATTAACATTTTCAAATATTATCACTGTCCCATCTGTAATTCTGGACTTTCCTGCCATCCACTGGCAAATACTCAGGGATGCAGAATTACATAAATGGGAGCAAAAATGGAATTCAGAAATCAGATCCGCTGCCCATAGCTGCAAACTTTGGGATAACAGCCAAGGAGAAAATACTTTTAGAATTGTCACTGTGGCTCAACTATACCTTGACTTTGTATCTTTAGTATGAATAACTTGCTTGTTTATCCTGATTCTGAAAATGTTAAATATTTATAAATTTCATGTTATCCTTAAACTTGCAATGCATTCACTTCATGTTTTCTCACTGTTCTCAGAAACTTCCTTTCCTGCAGGCATTGAGGATAAGTACTAGCAAGCAGACCCTGTCTAAGAGGTACCTTGTAACATGTGAACAAGTGATAGTTTGAGAACCTTTGGAATTTCATCCTATTTTTTTTCTTTTTTTTCTACTCAACCTCAATATCTTGACCCATTCTGAGGCAGCCGGAGGACCAAAGACAAAGCATTAAGGAACACAAACTAACTTTTGTCTTCTATTAAAAATAATGTTAGAAGGCTGAGAATGTGGCTTAGTGGTAGAGTGCTTGCCTAGCACGCATGAAACCCTGGGTTCGATTCCTCAGTACCACATACACAGAAAAAGCCAGAAATGGTGCTGTGACTCAAGTGGTAGAGTGCTAGCCTTGAGCCAAAGAGACTCCAGGACAGTGCTCAGGCCCTGAGTTCAAGACCCAGAACTGGCAATAAATAAATAAATAAATAATGCTGGGGCGGGGTGCCAGGGGTTCACACCTATAATCGTAGCTACTCAGGAGGCTGAGAATGCAGTTCAAAGCCAGCCCAGGCAGTCATACCTGAGACTCTTATCTTCAATAAACAGTCAGAAGTGGTGCTGTAGCTGAAGTGGCAAAGCACTAGCCTTGAGTAAAAGAAGCTTAGGGATAGTGCCCAGGCCCTGAGTTCAAACCCCAGGACCAGAAAAAAAAAAAAAAAAGAAGTAGTAAATGAGGTTGGGGACTCTTGAGTCCCAGGAAATTATTTCCTATCTTGCTTTAGTTTTTGAACCCCTTATCCAAATCCAACCTTAAAGTGAGAATGACACAGGAAGGCATCAGAGCTATAGGCTCAGCCCTTCACTAGCAGGAGGCTTTGGGCTCCTAAACCAAGGTTATTAGGAGGCTAGGAGTCAGTGCTGCTCAGGACAAGGCTGGGTGGAGGCAAAGGAGGTGAGAAATAGGGTTGCCCTCTGGGGCAGAGGTACTGCATGGTGCCAGGGGACAGAAAAGAGAGGCAAGAGGGTAAGTTACCTCTTTTCGGTGGTCTGTGCTACCCCAGGATGCTGAGCGCTTGTGGGTGGAGGAGCTGATCTGCTCACATTCCGGCTCTTGCCAGGACAGGGGTGTCTGCAGGGGAAACAGTAAGAGGGAAAGAGAGAGCAGCTTTGCAATAGGTCAGGGAAGCGGACATGCTTTCCTGTGTCAAGGCTGTGGCCTGTGAAGTTGTCTTGCACCTGCTCATCAACTAGCTGTACACGCCCAGCCTGCAGAATGCCTTCTAGGCAGAACCACCCCAGCCTACATCCTCCAGGAAGCCTTTCTGATGGCCTAATAGTGCTGCCCTCCTCTTTTATCTTTTATGGCTTTCATACAGGTTTTATAGCTCCCCAGGGGTGGACCAGGTACTGTCTCTCCTCCATCAACCAGCTGCAAAAGAGCATGACATAGGGAACTCTACATCTTTCTCATACTCCATGTGTGCAGCACAGCTAGGTGCCTGGAAGTCTAAGCACGGTGCCTCAAGCTTTATCTTTTCCTACATACAGTATGAATGTGAGAGCCTCAAAGTCCTCCTGAATGAGCAGGGAAGAGACATTTTTGGAAAGGAGGGAGCCAGAATTCTGTCCTCTGTTCTGAGTTCTGACCCTCTGGCTTATCTTTACCATTCTACATCCTCATCCTCCTTTTTCTCCTCCTACTAACTCTCCCTCCTTCTCCTCCTCGGCCTTCCCAGTCCTCCAAAAGAGCTTTTCATTCGCCACCTTTCCTCCTCTGCTGCATGAAAACAAGGGACCCCAAGTCAGGGGTAGAGGGCTCACTTTCTGAGCCACACCACCACCAAGGGAGGAAGTTATTGGCTCTAAGCATGAAGTCAAAGAGGTCCATATCCCTCCTTACAATCAAATCCTACTTCATTCCAAGAGAGGCCCAAGGCCTGTTCCTCTTTTATGTTCTGTGCACATGCTGCCAAAGACATGAGGGCCTGGGAACCATCTCCTCCAAGAGATCTGCTGACCTCCCCTGAGAGCTGCTGCACACAGAAGGGGGGCATCAAGAAAACACAACTACTCACCACCCAACAGCTGCTGAGAGGAGCTTGTGGGGTATCTAAGCCAGTTGTGAGAGCAGGCTGTGTGCAACAGCTGTGTGGAGAGGAGCCACTGTAGGCTGAGCCTCTGGCTCTTCCTGCCCCCAGCTGTCCATGACCAGGACCTTTAGAGCCTAACTGTACAACACAGCCAGTGAGGGATGATGGTCTCAACTTCTGTGTCCTGATGCTGGCATCACTAGGGAGCACATCCTGAGATGCAACCCCCTACATTAGAAAAGGGCCGCCAGCATGTTCTGCAGCCCAGAGTCCTCAGAGGACACTGGCTCTCAGTCTCTAGAAACCAAGCAGCTGGTGTTCTTTCAAAGGCTGGTCTTTCTAAAGCAAACATCAGAGTCTCAGAAGAGGCTGCTGCCTTTTATGCTGAAAGGGAGCATGCCCATCTCTCCTTCCAGTCACTAGGACCAGGCCACCACATACCTGGTTATCTTCCCTTCCCAAGACACTAAAGCCAAATCCATAGATTACCATTTCTACCAGCAAAGCTCTGAGGGTCACAGAGCCTGTTATCCTGGAAGGGTGGCAAAACCATGATGCTATTTCCCTTCATCCAGGAAGATGCTGTGCTTATCAGTGAGCAGTGAGATGGGGAAGAAACAGCTAGCTGAGGCTGTCATTGGCTATTGATAAACATCTCTTCAAACTCTTCAACTTCTTTCTTTCAGTATATGTGAGGGGGTGGAAGGAGACCTGTTGGCTGGCATGGGAGTTCAGAAAAGATATGAAAACCAGAGCTGTTGGAAAATCTCCTCTAGCAATCCATTTTACTCCACCTTTCTCTGCTCAGTAACATTTTCCAACTATGGAGCATTCTGACTCGATGTTCTCTAAAGTCATTATTTGTTTGATATTTTTCTTTTCTTTTTCTGTGTGCTGGCACTAGTGCCTGAATTCAGGGCTTCACACTCTAGCTGGGAGTTTTTAACTCCTAGCTAGGGCTCTACCAGTCAAGCCTCCAGTTCTGGTTTTTTGTTTTTGTTTAATTTTTGCTGGTTAATCAGAGATAAGAGTTGGTTGCCTGCCTGAGCTGACTTTGAACCTTGATCCTAAGATCTCAACCTCCTCAGTAGCAAAGATTACAGGCATGATCCACCAACACCCAACAATCACTGTTTTGTCTCAACACTCACCCCTACCTATAGGTATTACTATATTACTATCTCTTCCTTTACCTCAGATTCTTTGTCTTGCCCAAGCAAATTCATTTCCTTTTCTGCCTTCACCCTTGACCTCCAAGCCTGGGGTGAGGGTTTGGAGTCATCTAAGATGCTATGCTCTGTATCTATTCCCAGCCATGTCAACGGGGAAGAGTGTCTTAAGTTGGCTGCCTTGTGTTGGGTGTTCCTCTGTTCCATCTCTTCCACCCGATAGGCTCAGGGTGTGTAGAGCATTCATGCACTCAGTGAGTATCTACTGAATGTATGATGTGTGCACCAAGTATAATTCCAGGAGGTGGGAATACAACAGTGCACAGACAACAAAAATCCTTGACTGCTGAGGTTTGTTCTAAACAGTGATAAGGGCAAAATCTAAAACACAACCCATCGAAGGAGAAAGGGATAGTGGGAATGCAATCTGAAATGCCAGGAAGTTCTCATTGGATAAAACTAGGAAGGAGGTGAGGGAGTAAGCCAGATGGACTTGTGAGGTAGGAGCCACATGGTTAGGAAACAAAGAGCAACTAGAAAGACCCTGCAGCAAGTCCTGTGTGTCTGAGAATCATGAAGCTGCCAGGGTGACAGAAGTAGAGGGAAGCTGGAGAATAGTGGGAGAGGTAGGTAGGTGGGAAAGGTTGAAAATAGTAGTGTCACAATGGTTGGAATTTTTGTGCCAGACCTAGGACTTGAACTCAGGGCCAGGGTACTGTCCCTGAGATTTTTCTTTTGCTCAAGACTAGTGTTCTATCACTTGAGATACAGCTCTACTTCCACCTTTTTGGCAGGAGATAAGAGTCTCATACTTTCCTGCCTGGCTGGCTTCAAACCACAATCCTCAGTTCTTAGCCTGCTAAGGATTACAGGCACGAGGCACCAGCACCCAGCGTGGGTGATTTTTAATTTCTCTTTTATGCTTTTCAGGATTTTGCAGTCTCTAGTGCTTTAAATCCCCATAAGCAATAATATTAGTTCTTCTAATTGTAAAACAATATATGTCCACTGTAAAATATCAACCAAAACAAAAGCAGGGGGCAAAAGAAAATGTAATTGACATAAAAAATCAGGGAGCAGTTTTGTTTTCTTCAGTCAGGCCTTCAATTATATTCTGTTAAATCCTCCTAAGTAACTGGGGTAAAAAAGGAAAAAAAAATATGAATAAAGGACGCACCCCTCCCCAAAATATTGGAAGCCTATAAATGTTACCTTATATGGCAAAGTTTTTGCAAATGTGAATCAAGATCTTCAGAAAGGAGGATTACTCTGGGATTATCTGGTTGGGTCCTGAATGCTATTATATGTGTGCTTATGATCGAGGGACAGGCAGAGGGAAGAGGATAAAGCAGTGTGACCACAGATGAACAGACTGCATTGATGTGGCCACAAGATACCAGCAGCCACTGGAATCTGGAAGAGGCAAGGAGCAGGCTCTCACAAGAGCAACTGAGCTGGGTGTGGTGGTGCATACTATAACCCCAATACTTGGGAGGCAGAGAGAAAGAGAGAAAGTCCAACCCGGACTACATAGGAAGAGACTACCTCAAAAAATAAAATAAAGAGATGCCTGAGACAACACAGTTCTGCCAGTATCTTGTTCTTGGCCCATGGAAACTGAATTTGGACTTCTGATTTATAGAACCTTGAAGGGAAAAAACTTCTGTTGTTTCAAACTGGATACCAAGGTAAACTGGTAAACCGGTTGTTTTAAAGCCTCAGGAATACAACAGAGCAGGTTAGCCTGAATTTGAAGTTGTTTATATGCTGGCAGTGAGTATTGTTAAAGCAACATGTGTATAAATGTGGGCTTTAGCTCCTCCAAACTGTACTGGGTGTGTCAAGAATGTCCCCCTTGAGCTAGTGACTCATGTCTATTATTCTAACCACTCAGGAGGCTGAGATCGAGAGGATTACAGTTCAAAGCCAATCCAGGCAGAAACATCTGTGAGATTCTGTCTCCAAAATAACCAGCAAAAAGCAAAGTTGGAGGCATGACAACCTAAGTGGTAAGACCAGCCAAGCAAGGAAGCTGATGAGTATGAGGCTCCGAGTTCAAAACCTAGTACCACCAAAAAAAAAAGAAAAGAAAAAAGAATAAAGATTTCCTTCCTTCATTTTTAGTAGTCGTTGTTGGACATGTACTTTTCTTTTTTTCTTGGTTGGTCATGGGGCTTGAACTCTGGCTGCTGTCCCTGAGCTCTTTTGCTCAGGGCTAGTGCTCTATTACTTTGAGCCACAATGCCACTTCTACTTTTCTGGTGGTTAATTGGAGAAAAGTCTTATGTACTTTCCTGCCAGGGTTGGCTTCAAACCACAATCCTCAGATCTCAGCTTCCTGAGTAGCTAGGATTACAGGCATAAGCCATCAGTGCCCAGCTGTGACCCTCCTTTTCTGGGTCTCACAACAGAGATCTGAATCAAGGTCTCCTTGGGGTACAGTAAAGTCACAAGTAAGGAAGATCTCGCATCCAGGCAGTCACCCTGGCAGTCAAGCCAGGCTTCATGGTATCACTGTAAGTGGTTATTCTAGATAATCAAGCAGAGGACACTTGTGTTCAGAAGACCAAAAGCTCAGTTTGCTAAAGGACTTTCACTGGAACAGACTTATTTCACACCCTGGCCAGAAGGAACAGCTGAGGAAAGAGCAGCACTGCTTACTAACCATGAGTGGCAGCAGCCAGCTGTGGAGCTGATGCTCTCACATTGTGCCAAAGTGGACATGGTTATACCAAGAAAGCCTTGACGAGAACAGAGGTCCAAGAGGAACATATGGAAGGATAACTGGGACTGGAGGAGTAGAATGCCTGCTCAAAGAGCAGCCCAATAGAGTAAGAAGGAAGGGCAGGATGGAACTGAAAATCTTCCACCTTGGAATGTCTTTCTCAGTATCCAATCAATCTAAGTTTCTATCTGGACTCTTGTGACCAGCGGCAGGAAGAGTCCTTGTCTTCACTGTTTTCAGTATAGAAGCTCCCTGTGCAGAGCTGGACTGAGCCCCAGGAGCATAACCCACTCACATACCTGTGTGGAGGTGAAGGACAACATGATGCCTGGCCTTAGAGAGATCAGCAACTATCAGGAACTGAAATGCAGTCCCTTAGGACTCTGGACAAACAATAAGGCAGGAAAATACTTGGGGTTGGGGGAGGTCTGCTGGCCAGCACTGAGATCTGGGCTGCAGGTGGCTAAGGCTACCATCTCTGGCCTTATAATGGCTAGGCAACTCTCAGATTTTCCATTATTGCCCATTTTCAGATATTTGCTGCTATTGTCAAACTATATACTCAACAACTGGTTCTGGTCATCACTGGAAAACAGGCAGTGTGCCCAGGCCCCTTCACCCACCACAAAGAGAAACATTTTTTTTTTTAAGTGTGTGATGGTAACACTGAATTATGTGTCATTACTGAATGTTACAGCACAAGCTTGGAAAAAGGGAAGGCAAGAAAGAAGGGATAGGAAGCCCTCCCAAACCAGCAGACCTGCTTCTGCGTCTGGTTTTTGGGGTGAGGCCTGATTCTGCCTCTGGTTTTCAGGGTGTTCCAGGAAGTTTGAATAAACAAACCAACTTCCATAGCAGAGGCTTCCCCAATCTCACCTGGAGATTAGGGAGAAAGCAAGGCTTGAGGGGTGCCACAGTGTATGAGCAGCAAACGACCAGCAGGGGAACTTTGCTCAGTCATCCCAGCTGTGGTGAGCCCACTTCCTCCCTCCAGAAAAGTACAGGACTCAAATGCTTTGCACAGCAAGAAGGGAGAGAGGTGACCACAGCCACCAGTATGTGTTGCCATTGCTAGCCCTGGCCTGGTCTCAGGCCCTAGAGGGTGCCAGCCCAAGGCATTTAGTGGCCAACTCTATGGAACTTACTGACCTGGGGGAAGGGTGGGCCACAGAGAAAAATGTATCCGGATAAATCCAGGAATCCAGCAAACATCCTCCCAGTCACCCAGCTACCTCCCATAGATAATGGGGATGCCATTCAGGGCTTTTCCTAGACCCTTTGACCACCTGCTCTGTGTCTACCTCCTGCTGAGCCCCAACTCTTCCCTGCATCTACTTTGTTGACTTCTGGGACACCTCTCCCATTGTTCCTCCTGGCTCAGCCACATGCGGTGACTCCTCCTTTCTACAATTAGCCAGTTCTCAAATAAGAACCATCCACACCCTTCCGGTTCCCCCTGTCTCAAATATGTGGTTAATCTAGCTCCCCACACCAAATCATAAAAGTATCTAAAGACTACCCACTATACCCATTCAGATCTTCAACCATGAATCAGAAAGGAACCCTGGGATTTTGGGAACACTGTGACAGACTCAAGAACTGAAAGTTCTTATATCTTCTGTCCTACAGAAAAGTCTACACAGCAAGCCTGCTCTCTAATGGCAGGTTTTCTGTGCTTGCTGCCCAGGTCTGAAACTGGCTTAAGAGTGGGCAGGGCTCCTCCTTTCTCTATGGGGGCTAGAGGAAAAACTGCTTAGCCTTTATCAGAACTATGGCTGTTAACCCCACTGCAAGGTAGGCCTCTGGGAGTGCCAGAGTTAATGTGGACTCTGGCTGTAGGCTTTGGGTAGCAGGAATCTGAGCACATGAAAGACTAGTAATGAGTGCCTGCAGTTACAGTGGAAAAGGCAAAGAATAAACTACTCCACTGCTGTGCCTACAAGAAAAGGGCACAAGGCAGAGGAAGCAGGAGGAATAGCCTACTCACTCAAATAGCAACAACTGGGAGAGGCCTACAATCCATCCATTTTGATACTTACCATTTTCAGTGGGCTGGGGCTGTATCTCAGTGGTAAGGCCCTTGTGTACCCTGGGTTCCATCTCAACAAAATCTTTCAAGGACTTCCATAGATGCTGTTTCTCCTTTCTTCATACTCCCTCCATCCCCCTAAACACTCTCCTCCATCTCCATTATCTGTGGGTAATTTCCCAGTGCTCAGAAAGGAAGGAACATGCTACTTAAGAAGATAGCAAGAGATACTCAGGCCTTCTCAGTGTTCCAGGGTTCAAGAAGGTGGCTTGTGCCAGGCCAGGGCCTCAAGCAGGAATCTGAACAAACCAAACCTAGAAGCAGAAATTTCCCAGAAGACCAGGAATGAAAGATGGGCAGAGCACATATTTTGGTTTGGATGCCTACACTGATCAGAATTCTCCCACCTCCTGCCTGCAGCCACAATATTGACAGGTTGCTAAGAGTTCCTCGAGGGCTGGAGTCTATCCCAAGGAAAGAGGAAAGCTGGATGGCTGGGCCTTGCCAGACCCATGGAGGCGCATCGCTGACCTCCGTCTCGCTGTGGCAAGAAGCCCAGACTTGTTATATAAAAGATCTGGCCTGCAGCTGGAGGCTGAGCAAAAAACACGCAGCTTAGAGCCTATGCCTTTCCAACCAGCCAGGGAATGTCAGAAGCCAACCCTGCCTTGGGTTGACAGAGAGCTAACAGAGGAGAGGGACAGGGACTGGGGGGCTTCCTAGAAGGCTGTAGCAGGAAATGACAGAGCTAGAGATAAGCTACCTGCCTTGGCCAAAGTGGGATGTTAAGTTCACACACCTGAAACCACCGTAAGCCCTGCTCCTCCAGGAGACCCTCTTAGAGTAGGTACATCATCTAGCTTGAGAAGTCCCTCTGAAAGTCATGCCAAAAGTTGCATGTGCTCCCAGAGCCTGGGACGGAGAAGCAAAGGCTTCTATTTTCCCTGCCTTGTCAAGGGAACACAGTGCTGGGGCTCCCAGGAACTCCATCTGCTACCCGCAGTGTGTTCTACCTTCACCTTAATAGAGCTAATGAGGGCCCTTAATGTTAACTTGTTTTAAACTTCCTGTTTTAATTTCTATTGATTCAAGGTGGGGCATTCCCAGGAGAATCTTGCTTCTCTAAATTCTGTCAGACATTTGGCCCCATCTCATCCTTTGGCTGCATCTTCACTGGCCTTCACAGAACTGGAATCTAAACTCAGAGGCCAAATCTTGTCCTCATTTCCTTATTCTTCATTCCAACATACTAAGACCAGGCATAGGCATTCAAACACTCATTAATAACATTTGAAAATGGATCTCATTTTAAAAAAAAGAAAAATGAGAGAGAGAAAGAAAGAGGAAGGAAGGAAGGAAAGAAGGAAGGAAGGGAGGGAAGAAGGGAGAGAGGGAGGGAGGGAGCGAGGAAGAGAGGAAGGGAGGAGGGAGGGAGGGAGGGAAAGGAAGGAACAGACTTGCTCAGAAGAGGAGGCAGAGTGAACTGCAGTAGGAAACATATCACCTGCCTTCCCATGACCTCAAAGTAGGCAGGACAGGCACACTACACTCAGTGTTCAATGGAGGGCTGATGGCGAGGCCCAATGTTCTTTCCTTCCTATCTCCACCTGTCCAAGCACAATTTAGGAGTCAGCTTCAATTGCATCAAAAGGGAGCCTTGACTCTTATCAACTCAACTGCTAAAAATGTCAAGTCCTGAATCAGATTAAGAAACATCTTTGTGGGCTGGGAAGGTGGCTCAGTGGTAGAGTGCTCGCCTTGCATGTATGAGGCCCTGGGTTTGATTCCTCAGCAGCACATAAGCAGAAAAAGCCGGAAGTAGGTGCTATGGCTCAAGTGGTAGAGCGCTAGCCTTGAGCTGAAGAGCTGAGGGATAGCGAGTTCAGGCCCCACGACCAACCAAAAAAACAAAAAAGAAACATCTTTGTGTGATTTCACAAATAAGATGACTTCTTGTTCAGACTAATACTATCTTACCTTAAAACTAACACATGGACTGGATGGTCCAAGATTCCTTCCAAGCTCAGAATTCTTAAGTGAGCCTGGCATTGGTGGCTCATACATGTGATCCTAGCTACTCAGGAGGCTAAGATCTGAGGATTACAGTTCAAGTCAGCTTGGGCAGGAAAGTCCATGAGACTCTTACCTCTAACCATCAGAAAACTGGAAGTAGCTCAAAGTGGTGAAGGGCTAGCCTTGAGCAAAAGAAACTCGGGACAGTACCCAGACCCTGAGAGTTCGAGCCCCATGACCAAAACCGCAAAAAAACAAAAAATTCTTAAAAGAGAAGAGCAAGTTAAATCAAATATTGAAGGGAGAGAATAACCTAGTCTCCTGGAACCCTAGAGAGGGCTGTTGGCAAGGTATTATCTGAGAGCTTCCTACTCCTGTTCCTCTATTGGGATCTATCCTGGGTCAGCATACTCACTGGACATTTCCTCCAGCTGTGTGGGGAATACAAACTCAAATGAATGAGGGCCTTAGTTTAATTTTAGCAAGGTCAATCTCCTCTTAAACCTAAATTCCAAAATCAGCTGTTGATTATCCACACATGAACTCTGAATGCCAAACTGAAAACCCCAGCAGCTTGATGCCTTTCCTCCACCAGGCAGGTGGAAGACAAACTCATTTTCATCTAAATTTACGAAGAAAAACAAGCTGATAAACAGCAGGTGACAAAAGCTTCTATGTACAACCAAAACCCAGGACAAGTCATCTTGATGACTGAGAGTTGATGGGTGGGCCAAAGGCCTCCCAGCCATCCCTCCCAATCCCTCCTGATCCCATTAGGAGAGAGCTGAATTACCTGGGTGGCCTTGTCATTGGTACAGCAGGTGAAGGCCCCATCGGTATCCCGTGGCCACTGGCCCAGAAGGTAGGAAGTGAGGATGGTGTCCAGGGAGAATGTTCGTCGGACCTGGGGTGGCTGAGGCCTATACACTGACTTTTCTGGGGCCACCGAACATGGGACACTGGCTGAAAGAGAGCACAGCCGGCACGCCTTGACGTCAACATAAAGGAAGGAGATGTGGCAGCCAGCTTTCTCTCTCCTAGGAAACCTCTGGCTGCCACATCTTTACTTCCCTCCTGAGAGAATTTGAAGCAGCCTGTAAAAACATATGCAGTCTAACAAAAGCTTTCCTGACCTAACTTTATCATTGGGAACAACTCATAGCATTTCAGTTTGGACTTACAGGTTACTTTATACATGTATTCTATCTTGTTCCTGGTGTACGATAAACTGGAACTCCTAAGTCTGCTCACAGTTTCCTGAGAGTAGCACTGTTTCCCATCATAAAAAAGGGAACTCTATGTACATGGACAAAACCCAAACTTTCTTCTCTTTTATTTCCTGTCCTCTTCCCTCCTGCCAGCATCCATGGCAGGGCTGCTATATACAAATCTCACTCAATTAACTGAAGGATTGTTTGTATTTCCTTCAGGACTAGTTCACTCCAGGAAACCTGGGTGACTAGGATGAGAACTGTATTAACTACTTTCAACAATCCAGGACTGAGGAGTCCAGTTCAGAAAAACATCTAAGTGCCTTCTAGCTAAATGGGACAAAAATAATACAATTGTAAGTCCATTCATTTTATTTTACCTTGGTTGAAGATTTCAGAATGAAAGCAAAAGCTCATACATTTGATAAAACTTAAGGACTCTGGGTCATCTGGAAGTTTCAGTGGTCCGGGGCTAAAACCCCAGCTTCCATAGCCATATTCAAAACATTTCACTAATATAAGATCTCTAAAGGTTCTCTTCTTTAAACAGTACAAAATGCTTTCACCTCTGTAGTAATCCTTTGATAATTTATGTGTATATTAAGCACAGCAAAATGGACTGGGGACTGTAGGTATAAACAGACTTGAAGAACTTCATACAAAAAAGACACTAAAAGGTTGGCAGTTCCTCAAAAAGTTAAACTTAGAATTACTTAGGATCCAGCAATTCTACCTCTAGGTATATACCTTCCAGAAAAACGGAAAGCAAGGGCCTGAAAAGATATTTGTACACAGGTGATCATAGCAACATCAATCATGATAGGTAAAAAGTGGAGGCAGGGGCTGGGAAGGTGGCTCAGTGGTAGAGCGCTTGCCTTGCATGCATGAGGCCCTGGGTTCGATTCCTCAGCACCACATAATAGAAAAAAGCCGGAAGTGGTTCTGTGGCTCAAGTGGTAGAGCGCTAGCCTTGAGCTGAAGAGCTCAGGGACAGCACCCAGGTCCAGAGTTCAGGCCCCACTACCAGACCCCCCCCCCCCCCAAAAAAAAAAAGTGGAGGCAACCTCAGATGATGCTAAGTGAAAATAAACTAGACACAAAAGCAAATGCTATCTATTCCACTTATAGTTCACTTCTATGAGGTACCTAGAATAGGCAGATTCCTAGGGAATAGGGATAAGGGCTCCCAGGGAGTTAGCAGAAGAAATGGGAGTTATTGTTTAATAGGTACATTTTCTGTTTCGGGGGATAAAATAGTTTTGGAGCCAGTCGCTGGTAGCTCACAAGTGGCTGAGATTTGAGGGTCATGGTTTGAATCTAGCTCGTGCAAACAAATCCAAATAAAACACTTATTTCCAATTAAACAGCAAGCCAAAAGTGGAGGTGGGGCTCAAATGGCAAAGTGCCACCATAAGTGAAAAAAATCAAACAAGAACTCAAGGCCCAGAATTCAAACCCCAGTACAGGCACAAAAAAATCTGGAAAAGGTCAGTAGTGATGATTGTATACATTTGAGTGTATTTAATGCCACTGAATTGCAAACTGAAAATGCTTAAAAGTTTAAAATGATAAACTCTAGATTTTTTTTTGTTATCACAGTAAAAAAAAGACAAATAATCATACACATTCCTCAAATTCAGCTAAACATATTAATGTATTATTTTGATATGCTTGTAATCAGTATAAAATATACATTATGTTCTGCTTTGTTCTTCCCATTTCCTAATAACTCCATTACCAAGTTTTAACACCCTACATTTTGGTTGTGTGTGTGTGGGGCTTGAACTCAGATCCCAGGAACTATCCCTGAGCTCTGTTGCTTAAAGCTAGTGCTCTACCAGTTATGGCCAGAGCTCCACAACTGGCTTTTTGCTAATTAATTGGAGATAACAGTCTCATGGACTTTCCTGCCCAGGCTGGCTTCAAACCGTGACTCTCAGATCTCAGCCTGCTGACTAGCTAGGATTACAAGCATGAACCATCAGTACCTGGCTTCATTTCTGTTCATTTTTAAAGATTATGATATACCGGGCTGGGAAGGTGGCTCAGTGGTAGAGTGCTTGCCTTGCATGCATGAGGCCCTGGGTTTGATTCCTCAGCACCACATAAGCAGAAAAAGCCAGAAGTGGCACTGTGGCTCTAGTGGTAGGGTGCTAGCCTTGAGCTGAAGAGCTGAGGGACAGCGCCCAGGCCCAGAGTTCAGGCCTCAATGACTGACAAAAAAAAAAAAAGATTATGATATATATTACCAACCTGTCATCTATGTAATAATTTGTTTAGCCATTCCCATACTATTGGGCATTCAAGAGGACCCCTCTAGTTTGGATATCATAATATTTCTGTAAAGCTAACCTTACTCTCAATCTTTATATCTAAATCCCTGGCCTAACTCTAGCTTATCTCCCTCAGCTATCAAATTTAAGTTAAAATAGTTACTTTATGCTTACATAAAAGAACTTTAAAAATGACTTATTTTAAAAAACAAAGAATTGACTTATAATTACAAAGTCAGTCAGCTCCAATTGTAGAAAGTCCAGAAACATGAACAAAAAGAAAAACCCTCAAATCTCCATACTCAGGGATAATCACTGTTAATATTATGAGGTTTATGTACTTACTTTCTGTGGGTGCATATACATATAATACTTCAAAATAAATGGGGTCATACTGTACACATTATTTTGCCATGTTTTCACCTAGTATCAATACTCATTCCAAACCAATACAAGCCGACTATAACACATCTTTAATTTTTTTTTTTGTTTTGAGATAGTGTCTTGCTAAGTCAGACCAAGCTGGCCTTAAACTCAAGATCCTCTTGTCTCTGCCTCCCTAGGGCTGTAAACCACCAGGCCTCCCAACATGCTGTTTTAAGTGATCTCAACATTACCATATTAAAACTCTTCAAAAAGTTTTTTCAAAGCCGGGCCCCAGTGGTTCATGCCGGTAATCCTAGCTACTCAGGAGGCTGAGATCTGAGAATCACAGTTCAAAGCCATCAGGGCAGGAAAGTCCTTGAGACTCTTATCTCCAATAAACCACTCACAAGTGGCGCTGTGGCTCAAGTGGTAGAGCACCTTGAGCTGAAGAGTTCAGGTTTCAGTGCCCAAGCCCAGAGTTCAAGCTCCACAACCAACAACAACAAAAGAGTTCTTTCAAAGATTGGAGTCAAAGGACTTATGTTCTGTCCTCTTACTTTTCCTTTATGCATCACTTCTCTGGATGCTGGACAAAAGAACACTATGTATAATTTCCCATCACTGTCCTGGGCCTTTCCTCCAAGGTTTGGCCCAGTGCTAAAACTGGAGCCATCTGTCAAGCCAGCTCAACTGCCTCTAGCTCCACTCAACCAAGCCTCAGGATCCTGGGAATCCCCTGCAATGAGAGTCTATGAATTTTGTTTCCACATAATACATTGTACTCTTCCATGACATACCACCCTCTCTCTTGGTATTTGGGACTCCTAGATAATAAACAGCCCAAGGCTGAGGCCTGGCTCTGTATCCCAAGTCTAGAGCATAAGGTTGGTAATTGTCAAGCACCCAAGGACATGAATAAAAATTAAAATAATAATAATAATAATAGAAGGGTAAACCTGCCAGGTGCTGGTAGCTCACACCTGTAAGCCTAGCTACTCAGGAGACTGAGATCTGAAGATCACGGTTTGAAGCCAGCCTGAGCCTCTTTTCTCCAATTATCCACCAGAAAACCAGAAATGGCACTGTGGCTCAAAATGGTAGAGCTCTAGCCTTGAGCAAAAAAGCACAGGGACAGCACCCAGCCCAGAGTTCAAGCCCCATGACCAATTAAAACAAACAACAAAAAAAGAATAAACCTCTAATTATACCCTAGATTCTGGTTTTCTAATTATACCCTAGATCCATGCTCAGCCTACTCACCTTGAGTAAAGACTCCATAGCTATTTGCCTTTTGTCCTCCTTTCTGAGGCTCTGCAGGGCTCAATCTCTTTCTTTCCTTCCCTGTGTCCTTGTCACCCAGTGAGTTAGTAACAAGCCCACTAGTGCAACCCAACTTCATCTCCTACACCAGCATTTAAATCACTCTTTTTTTTTTTTTCTGTATTGCATTTAAGATTAAAAGTGGCAATCCAGGCTGGGAAGGTGGCTCAGTAGTAGAGTGCTTGCCTTGTATGCATGAGGCCCTGGGTTTGATTCCTCAGCACCACATAAGCAGAAAAAGTCAGAAGTGGTGCTGTGGCTTAAGGGGTAGAGCACTAGCCTTGAGTTGAAGAGCTGAGGGACAGTGCCCAGGTCCAGAGTTCGGGTCCCACGACCGACCCCCCCCCCCAAAAAAAAAGTGGCAATCCAAATTTCTAGGAGCTTCTGCCCATGTAAGAAGCCATCTCAGACCCTGTGGGCTTCCATCAAATCCATCCCTAAGAGTCCGGTGATGAGGCAGGCAGGATCTCTGGAAAGAAGCTTTGCAACATTACATAAAAGATAACCAAAGATGCAGGTGGCAAGCAGGTGAGCATACAGGCTAAAATATGATCCTAAGGGGCTACTTCATCCTTGTATCAAAGGAAAAAAATTGACTGCTGACTGCAGGGTGAAGAAATAAGCTATTGGGAGAAAGATCTCTTGGGACCCCCTATTTCTGTCCCCCAAGTCACTGTGATAATCTCCTTTAGTACTTTCAAGTTGGCCCCATCCCCACAAAGTACTTCATGCGATATAACTTTTTACTTTATTGTCAGCTCCAGAAAGGGTTAGGAAGAGACTGAGGAGGAAA